GCAATTCTCCTGCCTCAGCCTCCTGAGTAGCTGGGATTACAGGTACCAGCCATTAGGATTTTTTTTTTTTTTTTTTTTGTATTTTTAGGAGAGACAGGGTTTTGCCGTGTTAGTCACGCTGGTCTCGAACTCCTGACCTCAGGTGATCCGCCCACCTCAACTTCCCAAAGTGCTGGGATTACAGGTGAGAGCCATGGCGCCAGGCCTCCTTCTGCCTCTTTGGCTACACAGCTGCCCTGTGGAGCTGTGCCCTCTCTCTCCAAGTGAGACTGTACGTGTGGACCCTTTGGGGTCTTGCTTAGAGCCCACCTTCCCCTGCCCATCCAGCCCACGCTGCTGTTTCCTCTGTGGGTTTGTCCCCCCGGCCCCTCATCATGGAGCAAGTCTTATGTGGTGATTATCCGTCCAATCTCTGGCTGGAGTGGCACGTGGCTGCCTGGATGCTGCCACTCAGAGGGCACTCTTGCCTTGACAGTGACTGTCCCCAAAGCAGTGGCGGGGTGGGGAGAGAAGCGCACAGCTGGGTGCCTCCTCCAAGCCTCCTACCTGCTTAGGTCTCCGGGGCTTGCATTACCTTCTTCCTTAGAGCAGGCCTCCCGGGACATGGCACTTACAGAGATGGAATAGTTTAATACATGTCTTGCTTCCTTTCTCACTCAAGGCCCTCAGAGGCAGCTCCAGAAGCAGTGGCTGGCGGGGCTCCGAGGGCCTGGGGGAGGCAGGAGGGGATGGCGTGGAGCCTCAGCCAATTTGGAAAGCCTTGTGACCCAAGCACGTCTTTCGGCAGCAGTGTCAAATCCTGCCGTTTGGGCATGCCATTAATGTACACGCTGCCGGGCAGGAGTCAGTGACACAAAGGCACATCCTTCCCCACCCTCCTGGAGCTTAGAAACTAACCACTCTAATGAGAAATGAGGGCAGAGAGGAGAGAGATGGGGGCGGGCCCCTCCGCGGCTGCTGCTGGTGTCAGAGCAGGCTGACCCACTTCTTTTGACATCAAGGGGCCTTAGCGGCCAGCCCACCAAAATGCCTTGTAAATCAGCTGCTGCTCCCTGCACGAGGGTCTCCTAGGTCAAGCCCGTCAATTGGTGCTCTTGGAGAGAGGTCTATTGCCCTGGCAGCATGGCTACTCTCTCTCCCTGGCTTCCCTTCCTCCCCAGGCCCTCCAGGGTCCCTTTACCCAGGCTCTTTAGGGCCTGGACCCCCTGTGTTCAGCAGCCCTCTTCGGAGAGACCCTCCAGGGAGTGCAGCGTGCCAAGCCTCTCTTTTTTCCCCAGGTTTTTGATTGTGCCATGAGTTATTTAGCCAACAATAGATGTTTATGTATTTTTTTAGAGCTCATATTTATTAACAGCCTCAGAAGGAAGAGACCCAGAGATTTATACTGAAAGCATGGTGAGTTAAAAGGGACAATTAGAGGAGCAGAGAGATACTGAGCATAGAATTGTAAAGGATATTTTAACACACAATCAAAGGTTCTTGAGATATTTTCAAAGTAGACAGAAGATAAAAGAAAATTGGCCCATTACGAGCTGATAGCAGGGGATTGGTGACATGGGATGGAGTCTCGGCTGACGGCTGAACTCCTGCTTAGAGGCAAGTGAATCTAGAGAGCAAGGTGGGGAGCTGAACCAGGTCAGGAGGCTTCAGAACGGGGGCTGGAAGGGACTCCATCTAAACGTATTCTCCCCTCCTGAAAGAATGAACACCAGCCAGGGGTGGTGGTGTGTGCCTGTAACTCCAGCTCTTTGGGAGGCCGAGATGGGCAGATCACATGAGGCTAGAAGCTGGAGACCAGCCTGGCCAACATGGTGAAACCCTGTCTCTGCTAAAAATACAAAAAAATTAGCTGGATGTGGTCACTCACGCCTGCAATCTCAGCACTTTGGGAGGCCAAGGCAGGTGGATCACCTAAGGTCAAGAGTTCGAGACATGGCTGGCCAATGTGGTGAAACTCCATCTCTACTAAAACTACAAAATTAGCTGTGTATGGTGGCTGGCTCCTGTAATCTCAGCCACTTGGGAGGCTGAGACAGGAAAATCGCTTGAACCCAGAAGGCAAAGGTTGCAGTGAGCCGAGATTGCGCCACTGCCCTCCAGCCTAGATAACAGAGGAAGACTTCATCTAAAAAAATAAATAAATACAAAATAAAACAATTAGCCTGTTATGGGCCCTGTAGTCTCAGCTACTCAGGAGGATTGTTTGAGGCAGGAGGATTGTTTAAGCCTGAAGAGGCTGAGGCTGTAGTGAGCCATGATCATCCCACTGCATTCCAGCCCCGGTGACAGCGTAACACCCTGTCTCAAAAACAAACAGCAAATGAACCCAGAGAAAGACTGGCTCCCTAGGTCAGCATAGAGTAGGGCCTGGAAGAGCTGAGTCCCTGGCATCCCAGAGGAGGGTCTGCTCAGGGATTGGTGGGCCTGCCTGGGGAGCATGGAAAGGGGAATTTGCTGAGTGCTCTGTGGCTCCCAGGAGCCTCCCCAGCGAACGAACTCCTTCTCTCTGACCCTGGTCCCTGCAGTTTGCCCTCCAAGAGGCCTCCCTGGCTCTCCTGCCTCCCCGAACCTGCTCACAGGTTTTCTGGAGCGCATGCACCACGGTGGCAGAGCACTGGTGATTACCTGGGTGATGAGTAAACATTTGCTAAATGGGATTCTTGGCTCTTGGGATGAACAGCCCCAGCAGGAGAGGAGAGCGTGCGGCCGATGGGAGGGGCTTGGGGCTGGCTAATGGTCAGAGCTGGCACATGCAGAAGCATGGGGGGATCTAAACAGGCTGCTCCAAAGCCAGGAGGGGCTGAGGGCAGCAGGCGCCTGGGAAGCAGGGAGCGCCGGGCTGTGGAACGCTTCCCGAGCTTGGAAGCAGCAGGTGTCTGGGAATAGGACTGTGGTCCAGGCAGACTTCCAGCGAGCGCTCCAGCTTGCTGGCACGAGGGGAGGATCTGGCTGAGCACAAGGAGGCAAGTTTCCATCATGAAACCCGCTGTTGAGGAACTGCGGCAAGGGTGCCACGGTCGGAAACCACGTGCCCAAGACAGGCTGGGGGGCGGGTGGGAAGACAACCCCAGGTGGGGAGCCACATGGCCCCCAGAGCAGGATCCCCTGAGCGCCCCCCCAGCCGGGTGCATCTCCCACGACCTCAGCTCAAAGTAGTTTATGGATGCCCCAGACACAAGCTGTTATCACCTCAGCCCTACTCCCCACACTCTTCTTTGGACAGCTCCTCATCCTCCAAGACACACTGGGTCACCTCCGCCTGGAAGCCATCTCTGACTGCCCCCACTCAACTGAGCTCCTCATTTTGCGGGCTGTGTGGTGCTAACAGGAGCACCAACTCCATACCAATTGTGAATACTTGTTTCTACGTCTCGGCTCTGAGCTCCTTGCCCCAAGCCACATCTTCTCACGTTTATATCCCCAGAGCCTGTGTGGCTGGACACGGAGGCCCTGGATTGGCCTTTGTTGAATGAAGCATGCAGAACCAGCCAAGCTCTGGGGTCAGGGGAGGAGCTTGTGTGGAGAGTCTTAGAGACAACCAGGGCCACCCAGCCCCTCCGACAGGGCTGGCTCTGTCTCCGTAAGTCCATACTGGAGACCTGCATGGCAGGAGGAGGGGGAGGGAGAAGAGGTGGGTCCTGGAAAAGTGCTGGCAGAAGATGGCAGGGGAGGGGGGCCTCCACCTCTAGGAGGACCACAGGAATCTGCATGTCCCTGCCCTGAATGAGACCAGGGGCTGGCTGGGGCTGGCAAATAGAGAAGCCTTTGCTGCACCCCTGATGTGTCCACTTGCTTTGATGTTTGGGGAGACGGTGTCATGGTAACTGCGTAGCATGAGCTGCTGGGTGACAAGTAACGTCACCTGCAACAGAGCTGCCTCGATTCCCCCTACCTCTTAGAGGAGAAAGCTGCTAAAAATACCTGGCGTCCTGGGCCCCCACCGCCTTGCCTCTAATAACAGTCAGCAACCAGAGACTGTGCTGTGCTTGACAGAAGCGGATCATTTATAAAACATTAGCATTTCTCAAACTGACATTCCATTCCATATTACAGGACTTCCTAAGTCTTTTAAAAAAAAAATTAACAAAGTGCTTAGACTCGTGATTTTCCTACTGAGGGCCTTGCTGTCTGAGGTTGGAAATGAAATCAACAACGTAACATCCTTGGGTTCTAAGGGACCCCCGGGCCCTGGCACCAGCCTAGGTCAGAGCCTGCAGGCCACAGCGGAGCAACTGCAGGCTGAGGATTCTTTGCTCTGCGGTCACTGGGCTCCCTTTAGTGAACACCCCAAGCCTCTACTGAGGAGGATTTTTCCAGCCAGGCCTGAAAACACAGCCTTCTCCCTCTATCCGGGGGACCCTCTCCTTTCTCTGAAGCTAGAGAGGCAGGTGCAGTCCCCAAACCCACCCACAGCTGTCCGAAGTGGGTCCCTGGTCTCCTAGAAAACCCCTTGGGTGCCAGGAACTGACTGTTCCCTTGCAGCCACCCATCCCCACCAGCCGCCTGCCCGGCCCCCTGAGAATCAGTCACTCAGCAGTTGCTCCTGAGACTCCCAGGAATAGGCCTGGAAGGGTCCAGGACCAGACTGCCCAGGAGAGCCACAGAGGTGCTGCTGACCCAGCGCAACCAGAATGTGGGAAGTGAATCACGATCTGTGCTGGTGAAGGAAGCGCCACAAAACAGGAGGGCCAGGGTGAGTGTGCGTTCATGGAAACAGGAGGGCCAGGGTACACGTGCGTGTGTGGAAACAGGAGCACCAGGGTGTGTGTGCATGCGTGGAAACAGGAGAGCCAGGGTGCGCGTGCGTGCTTGGAAACAGGAGGGCCAGGGTGCGCGTGTGTGCGTGTCCCCATGAGTCAGTGTGCCCCTGCCCCCTACAGCTCCTCCCACCAACAAATGTGCTGTGTTCCCAGAGCTGGGCCCAACCAGACTTGCCAACCCACAGAAGCCCAGGATCTGCCACCTGTCAGGAATGCGGGGCTAGGAAATGACAAACAGGGTTCTTGTCCAAGATCATTTATTGTTATTATTATTTTTCTCTTAACTGGATTCGGTGTTTCTCGCTCCTCACACACATACTCTCTGGTGGGGGATTCAGGTTTGTGCAAAGCGCAAAGGAGCTTGTGCCCACCTGGGCCCCTGGCCAGCGGCATGGCTGGCTTTGATCGGAGCGCCTCTTCCCTGTTTGGGCTCGCCTGCCCCAGTCCCTGTGTGGTGCCCGTCCCTGCTCCTGACCCCTGAGTGTGGCCTCCCCAGCCTCTGCCTGCACCCTGAGCATCCCCAGGAGGGCTGGGAGGGCTGGGTGCCTGAGATGGTTCATGAAATGCCCTCATCATTTCCCTTCTGCCTAAGGACCCCTGATGCCTCCCCGTGCTGCCCTGCACAGGGCCCTTGCTGGGCTGTCCACTGAAGAACCTCAAGGAAACGTTTAGTAGCTGAGCCGTGCTGGAGGCCTGGGCTCAAGCCCGAGTCTCTTGGCATGTCCAGACTGTCCCTGGCCAAACGCTAGGCTGCTGACAGCGTCCAACCCGCTGGACTAACACTGTGGATGCTGCCTGGCCTGCCAGCTTCCAGATCCCAAAGCCCTTCCCTCCCCTCCTGTCTTGCTGGCCCTCAGGGCCTGGCTCCCTGACATTCACTTCTCACCCTGAAGCCCACAGCTAGTATAGCAGAGGTGACAGGGTGCTCCAGGGTGGCAGACAGGCTTGTGTTGCATATGAAAACAAGGTGATGCTATAAATATCTAAGAATATTGGTCCCCAAAGTGACTCTTGCTGCCACCCCTTCCTCACCCTCCCCACTGACACCTTCCCAGTCCCTGGCAAGCCAGGCTGGGATTCTAGGCAAAAATTCTATCACTTTGTTTTTGCTAGGAATCACCGATACAATCCTTAGCTAAGCAAATTCAGTTTTCTGTATAGTTTATAAACATGGAAAGACATACAGTTAGGTGACGGAGTGGGAGGGAGGACCTGTGCATTTGTATATATATATATGTAGAGTGTGAGTATATATAAGTGGACATAGTTATAAAACTGCACCTTCTGTGAGAACCTCATTGCCTGGGACGAAGTTTGAATTTCAGCCTCTGATGATCTTTCCTTTGGTAATTGGTTCTTGGACCCCAGCAGTTGGGCCTGGGTCTGCCAGGGTTGCCTGAGACATCAGGAAGGAGAGGCGCTGCCCCCGGGGAGGGGCTGAAGGTGGAGTCAGGTAGGATTCAGGGCAGGGTGACTAAGTGGCCTCAGGAAACAGCCAGGATGCCACTTGCTCGTGTGTGCCCAGACTGAGGCCACCCAGCCTCGTGGATGTGCCTCGTTTGTTCCTCTCTGCGTCCTGGTTTCTCCAGGAACCATGGGGCCCTCCGGACCTCTCCAGACGTTCGGGATTCTGCAGAGCCCCGCCGCTGCCGTTGGGGGGCGATTGTCCCATTGTCGCTAGTGAAGGATGCACTCGGTGTGCCTTTTACTGCCTTGCTGGAGTGGACGCTGTCCGTGGGTGTTCTGTGGGGCTGGCGGGGACGGCCGGGGGAGACGTGCCAATCCCCTCCCACCTAGGGCTGTACACTTTGGGTTTACAATCCACATGGCAGGGTACAGACAGCAGCTGCGTGAAGACGCCTCTACCAGCCTTCTCCTGAAACCCAGCAGATCTTCCACTAGGAAAAAAAGAAGAAAATTAATTCTGTTCCTTGGTGGACACGTGGCAGTGCTGGGTGATGATGCCCTGGGCCCTCAGCGGAGAGTGACCGCCAGCCCCAGAATCCAGGCCAGGAGAGAGGCCCCCAGGGAATGGCCCGAGGAGGCCTGCTGCACCCCGCTGGGGGCACGGATGGGGGTCCTGCGGGCACACTTGCCCTTCCTCTTGGGCCGGGCGGTGGGCATGATGTCGAAGCCGAGCTTGTGCTGGTAGTCGGGGGCATAGTCTGGCAGCTTGGGGGCCTGCTTCCTGCCACCCGCCTTAGAGATCTGGTTGCGGTTCCTGTGGCTGGTGCAGTTCTTGCCTGGCTTCCTGTGGCCGGGCCGGGAGCCAGGCAGGTGGCCCTTGCCTCTGGTGGGGGCATGGGGCAAGTGGTGGCCCTTGCGGGCAGCCCTGTCCGTGGTGGTGAGCGTGTGTGACTTGATCTGGTGCGGGGACGCTGGTCCCGTGCAGTTCCGGAAGTCCTCGGCCCTCAGCAGCTTCAGGTCCTGGCCGTGCCGCCGCACGGGGGACAGGCAGGGGACAGCGGAGCTGGAGCCCCGGAACCGCTGCAGCCACTCCCAGAGGGAGCGCGCTCGGCAGCCGCAGTCCCAGGGATTGCCGTTGAGACGGAGGAACTCCAGGGCCCCCAGCGGGGCCAGGCATGCGCCCTGCAGCTCCACCAGGCTGTTGTTGAAGAGGAAGAGCGTGGTCAGCCGGCGCAGGTCGTGGAACGCCTTGTGGTGCACCCACTGCAGCTGGTTCTCATGCAGCAGCAGCCGGTCCAGGTTCACCAGACCCCGGAAGGTGCCTGGGCCCAGGCTCCACAGCTTGTTGCCATGGAGAAACAGGTGGCTGAGGTTGACCAGGTCCACGAAGATGTCGTCCTGGAGGTACTCAATGTGGTTGTCCTGCAGGTAGAGGTACTGCAGGCTGTGCAGGCCGCCAAAGATGCCGGCTGGCAGGGCGCTCAGCCCGCACTTGTAGAGGTAGAGGGCGTGGAGCTTGACCAGGCCCTGGAAGGTCTCGGGTGCCAGTGTCCGCAGCTGCCGGTTGTCACCAAGGTCCAGCTCCTCCAGGTGCACGAGGCCCTCGAAGGTGCTGGGGTGGATGTGGGTGATGTTGTTGGAATAGACCCAGAGCGTGACCATGGCGGGGCTGAGGTGGCCCGGCTGCAGCAGGCTGATGCGGTTGTTCTGCAGGAAGACACGCTCACTGTCCACTGGGATGCCCTCCGGGATGGCCGCAAAGTTGTGCGCCTGGCAGCTGACCGTCATGGGCGCCGGGTAGCACACGCAGTCCCGCGGGCAGCCGCCACCCAGGGGCAGCTCTGCAGCCACCAGCAGCAGCAGCACTTCCACACAGCACCCTGGCAAGGAGAGAGAACACAGCCAGGTCAGGGGCCGCACAGGGGCGGGAGGCCAGCGCGGTGCAGGGGAGAACTGGCACGGCACTCTCCTGGGCCCACTGGGGCTACATTTTCACCTTGGCTGAGCTCAGTGAGAGCCTCACCCCTGGCTGAAGCAAGATCAGGGTGAAGGGTCCAGGTCCAAGCCTGGAACCTGTCTGGGATGAGAGGCCTCCCCTCCTTGGTGACCCACTTCTTGGGTCTGGGAGGTGAGTCTGGAGTGAAGGCCCTGATCACCCCCACACTTCCTTAGTTCCACCCCACAGATGCTGAGCCCCAGGCTCACCTACTCCGGCTCTGTCACGCTGCAGGGGTGGAGGTCACGACCCAGGGACACCGCCATCAGCTTCCCATCTCCTCCTAGCTGTGTCCCTGGCTGTTGTTATCTGTGCTCACGGAGAGTGGAGGGGCTCTTGCTGTCCTGAGGAATCTATTTATTTATTTTTACTTTTTATTTTATTTATTTACTTTTTGAGACAGAGTCTCACTGTGTCCACCAGGCACCAGGCTGGAGTGCAGTGGTGCAATCTCAGCTCACTGCAACCTCCGACTCCCGGGTTTAAGCAATTCTGCTTCAGCTTCCTGAATAGCTGGAACTACAGGCATGCGCCACCACGCCCAGCTAATATTTGTATTTTTAGTAGAGACAGGGTTTCACCATGTTGGCCAGGGTGGTCTCGATCTCTTGACCTTGTGATCCACCTGCCTCGGCCTCCCAAAGTGCTAGGATTACAGGTGTGAGCCACCACACCCGGCCTTATTTAATTTTTTTTTTTTTTTTTTGAGACGGAGTCTTGCTCTGTCACCCAGGCCAGAGTGCAGTGGCGCAATCTCGGCTCACTGCAACATCTGCCTCCTGGGTTCAAGTGATTCTCCTGCCTCAGCCTCCGGAGTAGCTAGGATCACAGGTGTGCACCACCATGCCTGGCTAATTTTTGTGTTTTTAGTAGAGACGGGCTTTTACCATGTTGGCCAGGATGGTCTTGATCTCCTTACCTCAGGTGATCTGCCCCACTCAGCTTCCCAAAGTGCTGGATGACAGGGGTGAGCCACCGTGCCTGGCCAGAATCTCTTTATTTAAATCATTCCCAGTCACAAGCAGAGCATGCATGCATGGCACCAAAATTCACCTGAAATAATGTCTCCTTTACAGTGTCTTCCATGTCCTCAAAACATAGAGGCAACCCTCCCTCTAAGCCTCAGTTTCCTCATTTCTGAAATACGGACATGACCGGGCATGGTGGCTCATGCCTGTAATCCCAGAACTTTAGGAGGCCGAGGGGGCAGATCACCTGAGGTCAGGAGTTCAAAACCAACATGGCAAAATTCTGTCTCTACTAAAAATACAAAAATTAGCCGGGCATGGTGGCATGTGCCTATAATCCCAGCTACTTGGGAAGCTGAGGCACAAGAATCACTTGAACCCTCGGGGCAGAGGTTGCAGTGAGCCGAGATCATGCCACTGCACTCCAGCCTGGGTGACAGAGTCTAGGAGACTCTGTCTCAAAATAAATAAATAAATGAAATAAAATAAAATACAGACAATAGCAGTTCTCCCTGGCAGAGCTATGTGGATGCCTTGAGAGGCGCCTGTCTGTGAGGGCCTGGGGGTGACAGCAGCTGTCAGACCGAGGCTGCCCCATCCCAGCCCACCCTTGGGCCCCTCCGCTCTTGCGACTCACTCCAGCCCCCAGGCTGTGGCTGCAAAACCAGGCCTCGCCTCTCCACTGTCCAGAGCGTTTCCTCTGTAGCTTCCCTCTAATTGGGCATTAATTAGGCATTCGTTAATGGATCCTTAAAGTAATTTATTTTCGGATGTGTCCAGCCTGTGGTCGGATAATAGCCCTGCGCTCATTATCGGAGCAGCCTTATTACCGATGACAGTCATTACCTCCCTTTTTCCAGGGTCGCAGCTGCCCCAGGCGGCCGGGCAGGCACGCCAAGGTGGGGGGTGGGCTCCAGGCTCCAGGCGCCCACCCTGGATAGCCAGCCAGCCTTCTCCTCCCTGCCCGATGGGCCTCCTGCCCCATGGGCCTCCTGCCCCTTTGCTTCTGGCTCCAGTGAGGCCTGGGGGAAGAGTCAGGGCGCCAGGGGCAGCCGAGTCGCTACTGCAGCTGCGCCCAAAGCTTGTGGGATGAGAAACAGCCCCTCCAGCTGCTCTGGGGCCAGGCCTGCTCCCGCCTCATGCCGCTGCCTGCCCAGGCTCCCGGCCCAGCAGGCCTCGCTGCCACTGTCACCCCTCGTTCCTGGCAGAAACAGCATGGTAAGTAAGTGACAGCTCCCAGATGTTGGGAGTTACGGGCTCCCAGAGAGTGGCAGCTGTTTCCTGTCCCCCTGTAATCACCCGGCTTCGACCGACCATTTCCGACACATAAAAATCATCGCACATAATTTGTGTTTTTTTTTGCATAATTGGGCTCGGTTGCGATTTCAGAGCAATTACGACTTCAGCGGCGGCGGCACAGCTTCAAGGACCCTTTCTGGGCCAAGTCAGGCTCTATGTGGCCTACGCTACACTCCCCAGCCAATGCACAGCCCGCAAGCTGGGCTGAGGCTGCTGACACCACCTCAGCCTCAGTTTCCCCTACCATGTGTGGGAGATGATGGCAGTGCCCACTGTCGCCACTTGGAGGCTCAGGTCCTGCCTCCGGCCTCTGCGCCTGCCTCCAGCTGCCCAAGGAGCCCCACCTGCAGGGGGAGGCAGGGGCGTGAGGGTAAGAAACCTGGGCTCCAAACCCCGCCTGACTTTGGGAAGCCTGCCTACTCTCTGAAGCCACCATCCAGGGCTGGGAGGGGGCCCAACTCACATTGGCTGACCCTTACACGGAGCCGACACTCCCCTCTGGCTCAGCTCACACTCCTCACCCCTGCTCGGCCGCTAGCTACGCCCTGCAGGGAGCTTCCTTCCCAGGGAGCCACCCCACTCTGCTGAGGGAGCCAGAGTTCCCCTCCCAGCTCAAGGGTGTCCCACATGTCAGGGGACAGGGCCACAGCCAGGCCATTCTGCAAAGACAAAACCATCTCCACCCCGAGTCTACAGCGAGAGAGGCCTCGAGGCAGGGGGACGGGTGATGCGTGTCCGGCTCAGCGCTAATCCCACTCGACATTTGTGCAGCTTACTGGAGTTTACAAAGTGCTTCCACTCATGCTCCCCTGAGGCTCAGAGCTGCCCCGGGTATGGGTGTGGGGAGCCCTCCTCCACCCCAGGTGTGGCTGCTTCTGTGAGGCCCAGGATGGAGTTCTCTGAAATGACGCCCGGAGAAGCCTGGGCCCATGGAGAGACGTTTCCCATCTCACACAAAGCAGGGGTCTCCGAGGGATGTCGAAACACGGGGAAACCAGGCAAGGACCCCAGTTTAGGTGAAAAGGCCAAATCCTATCCCCCTGTAATCACCCGGGGTGACCCAGGGGTAGACTTGGTATCTGTGAGTGTGCCATGGGTGGGAGGGGTCAGAGGGCAGGGGTGAGGTGAGGCAAGGCCCAGGGCAGGAACCCCCCTACCCCGCCTCTGAGAGGGCTCCTGGGTCGCCAGGCCTGGCTTACATTCCCTGTCTCAAGGAAGAACAAACCATTGTCTTGGGGAACACGTGGGGCAACAAGCCACAGGCCCCAGTGTGGGCAGCCCTTCCCTCCTGTCCCAATGCCTGAGGATGGTGGAGGGGCAGATTGGGGGTTCTGAGCCCCAGGGCATGCTCACCACCTTCAGTACGGCCCAGGTGCAGGGACCCAGGCCAGGGAAGCTGCCCTTCCAGGCACCCTGCCCCTCCTCCTGGAGATGCTTCTGCAGCCTGGAAGGTGGCCCCATTTCCAAGATCTTGGACCAGCTGCCCCAGCTGGCCCTGCCACCTCTAGTACCCTGTGCCACAGCCAGCAGGTGCCCCAGTCTTGGACTGTCCCCCACGGGGTTTCTCCCAGAGAGGCTGGCATAGCATTGCCATGGCTCCTCCCGTGCCCCTTCGTGCAGCCCTGGGGAGCCCAGACCCATTGATTGCCTGATTAATATACTAACAATGAGGCCCTCGCCTTTGCCGTGCATTTTAAGATTTCGAATTAGCAGGGTTCAGAGTCTCTGTGGAGGAGCCCGGCACCCCCTCCCACCAGCCTACTCACCCCCTCCTGGGTGAGGCAGGGGTGGCTCTGCCCAAGGGGGCTGAGGAGAGCAAGGCCGAGCTTCCACCAAGGCTCCCCCGGGCTTTCCCTGGGGTGTCCCCTGTTCCTCCTCTCCTCTGGGGGCGCGCACTTGGCTGACTGCTCGGCTACCCCCAAACCTCCCGGCCTCCCACACATCTGAGCTCACCGGCATCTCCACAGCCTCATTCATTCACTTGCGGCCTGAGCCCTGGAGTGTTGGGGATGCCAGTGGGGAGGATCCAGAATGAGTGGGGGTGGTGCAAGGGGGGATCCTCATGCTCACTGGCAGACGGGAGTCTCTCTCACAACAGCAGGCAGGCACTCTGGCCAGGGGTGCGCCCTACAGTAGACCCCTGGGGGGATGTGGGAAGGGAGGGTACTCAGGGAAGGCCCCTGCCATCCCTGTGCCACCTGCCAACATTGTTCTGTCACTGCCTGGAGTATGAGTCTGGGAACTGAGAGAAGGGTCCCTGTCTCACAGGGTTGCCTTAGTATTCCAGCCAGCACAAAAGCATCAAGGACAGCTGGGATGGTGGTCAGGTCCCTACCCAGTCCTCTCAGCAGCCCAGATATGCTGCTGAGGGGACTTGTGGGGCCAGACCTGCCGGGATGGGGAAGGGAAAGGCAGTGGCCACTGCATGGCAAAGGCCCCGCGGTGGGAGGGGGTGCCACACTCATGCATCTTCCTGCCCTGCTCTGCCACTCAGGCTCTAAGTACGCAGAGCTTCCAAGGAGGCTGCAACCTCTGCTCGGCTGAGCTGGGGGAACCCAGAGCCATGGGGGCCAGAGGTCTCCCCTTTGTGACCAGCCCGGGCGAGGCCCTTGCCCGA